TCTGTGCAAAACTAACTTCACATATAGGTATCATTGCAGATAGAAGAAAAAAAAGTCTAGATAGATCTCACTTCTGTGCTCTGCAAGGAAAGAGAATGTCCAAGGAACAGAAATACTTCTCTTCTAGAACATTGTAGTGATTTCTTTTTAGGTCATCATTGGGCATTGTATTTCATTTCAGTGTCATCATTGAAATGTTAAAACCTGATTTTTGAGACAACGTAGTTGAGAAGATGAGATTGTATCCAAGCAGGAGCATTTCACATAAGTCTTACGAATATTGTCTTGCTTTATAAATGTGGGTTTTTTTCATATTGATGAAAGAAACACTATCTTTCGTATCTGGCTCACCATTCACACAGCTTAGTCCTCAACTGTGGCATGTAAGTATGCTATGCAATAGAATAGCTACGTTCTAAAAAGCTACCTTTGATCCCTTTTTACGATGTTATTAGGTCAGCTTTTTGATATTTTTTTTTTTTTTTTAATTTGACTCTACTCCCAGGTGACACATTCAGACACATCAGTGATAAAAAAAAATAAGTAGATGTTAAGTCCAAAACAAAGTAATTTTTTTCCTATTGATTTCATTGCTGTATTTAATAAAACCATAGCTCAGCATGTTAAATGGTTTGCTTTTTATGCTTCTATTTATCTTGATGTTTCTGGAAAAATGAAGACAACCTGCGATTCAAGTTCTGCTTCATCAAATATGCAGTGTAATAATTCACTCTATTCTGTACTGTTACATTCTAATGCTTCCCGGTGGAGTATTGTTCTAGATGCAGCTTTAAGCTTATTGTGAGCTTGCAAAATATCGGTCAAAATGCATTTCAGAAGTTCTTTTGCTGACAGTAACATAACTAACAGATTATACTAACAAAAAAAATCTTAGTTTGAAATCTGTATTGTTCTTCCCGTCTCAGTCTTAGCATTCTTCGAAGACTTAATTTTGCATTTAACAAAGTTATGTAAAGTAGTATGAAAAATTTAGCCTGTTTGAATAAACGGGAACTTTCTCAGCTAGTGCAGGTGAGGAGTCAAATAGGTTAAAAACTACTACTCATGTTTAGGAGGATAATGACTGCCATAACCATTACAAGTACAATAAAAACTATTAATGCAAAGAATTAGCTTATATTTAAAGTACAAATAGTGGGACCAGTTTCAAATGCCATCAGGTGAAGACAACTATATGAATTTTTCCCTAGTTCTTCAAGGCTGACCGTGATCCTAGTAGAAATTTAGTCATACTGCCATATCTTCACTTGATACAACTTATTTTCCTCGTAGCTATTTAAAACCCCCACAAACCACAGATCTTTTGATTTTAGTTGTTATGAATTCCTTGGAGTTCGTTGAGAAATGGTAATGGTTCACCTTTTATGCTGTAGATGGTACTTAAAATGTACACAAAATCACTTTTACTTAAATGTGTCGTCCTAATACAAACAAAGCTTCAAGTGATCCTACCTGAAAGCATCCCTGTGTTAGTGGTAACAAATATATTTAACCTCATACAGTGAGGTATATTCTACTGTGAAGGACCTGTTATTTAGGTTAGAAGTGTCTAGGTTCAGCAAGTTCATAAAAGTTACTTCAATGCATGTTCTAAATAATAATTCTTAGCTTAACTTTCTTTCCTGTTTCCCCTTTTCATTTTGGTCCTTACCTCAGTTTTCTCTACTTTCTCATGCTCTGATCTGTTTGAGCAATTCCCCTAACATTTAAAAACTTAAGTGTGGTGCTATCGCCATTAAATTGTGCTCCAAATCCTTAACTGCTTTGTGCTGTGAGGAAAATGTTAATCTAGCTTGGGAATTCATGCTATCAAGGCATAAAATGTTTTAACTTTGAGCATGTTGGCCAACCAACAGATAGATTGGGTCCTAAGACCTTCAGACTTCTGACAGGAGAACAAACACACTTTACAGAGGGGTAGGCAGAGAATTTTGTTTGTTGTTTTGGGTTAGCTACATGTCCTGACCTTTCATTGAGGACTTCAGCATTTGACAAAGTCATTGCTGTAGTGTGCTGATGAAATCAGCTGACATTGACTCTTCTGCACGAGTACATCTGCTGTACTTTGTCCAAGAATTGGAACAAATTCCTGTTAACATGATTAGAAATAGAAGATTAATTTTTTGGAAGAGGAATTATCAATTTGAAACATTTTCTTACGAAGCGTAGGTCAAATGTGTAGACACATTCATTCCTCAGTACTATCTTGAGTGTAGTGAGACACTGATGTTATTAAATAAATCTGCAGTTTTAGTCATGTTAAATACAATTAAGGGTCATTTAAGGTGTCTTAATGACTTGCTTAAAAAGTGATCTGTACTGAAATTCTTATGTGTAATACTGAGGATTTCTCTTCAGCCACGCTAAGCTTAGCAAGCAGCTGGGTGTGAGATAAAGCACTTGTCTGTGTTTATTGAGAGAAAGTGACAAGTACCCAGTTGGAACAGCCACACGGTTACGCTAATTTAGCTGAGCTTGGTTGGAGCCGACCACAAGATTCACAATTCATGGATGGAATTCAAGTGGAATTTTATGTTGGGGTGAGGGACCCTGATTAATGCAGTGTCTGTTTTAGGCAAACTGAACTGTCTGTCTTCTGCAGCATGTGTTTTGTTGTACTCTTTCCTGAAGCCAATGAACCATATCAATGATTTTTATTTAAATTACTATGTGATGTTCTTAACTGGCGCCATGCTGCTTTGGAAGTAATTTACAACAGTACACTGATGATTGTATGAGTTTTCTGAAATGGTTTCATTTGATTTCATGATGAAGTTAGTCACTTGAGTCAGGTTTGAATCTCCTATTGCTCCAACAGAAGGGGATCTTACAACTATCTGAACAGGAATGTATTTCTAAAGCCTGAAAAAGTATGCGATAACTTACAGTTGTTAACACGACTGATTTCACTATTCTAATAGTAATCCAAAGAGTTTGTCTTGCATCCAGGTGGTATCCTGCAGAGGCAGGAGTTTTAGCGCTAATAACAAATGGTAGGGCTTGCTAATCACATTTTTAAGCCCCCTGAGTTTAGGAATGATGAAAAAAGTATCTTTATCATGGAACTGTTTGAAGTAGTTTGCAGCTTACTCCAATTCTCAGTATTTACAGTTTTTATACACTACAGATAACTCATGAAATAAAGTAGACATGATCACAACAAGCAGGAGTTGCAGTGAATCTACTAACTGTTGAAGTGATCTCAAAGCCTGCTCCTGAACAAGTTGGGCCCTCAGGAAGGCAAAAGTGAGATTCAGAATTGGAAACTTAAAGGAGGATGAAAGACATACGTTGCTGCAATACTAACAATCAAGAAGGCAAGAAAAGTTTTGGGAAAAAAGTCACCTGCACATTTGGTATACACATCTGTTCTATAGTTCCTTCTGTCAAATCACCAACCCTTTAAAGACAAATCTAATAAAGTACTGAAAGTTCTTATAGACAAAAATACTGGTCCATAATTGCTTTCTTCAAGTATTTTGACATAGCTGGTACTTAGCCTTGAATATACAGCCAGTAACTTCCCCTGGCTAATAATAGTTTCCTAGATGCTTCCTTCTTACTGGTGTGACCAGAACTGCTTAGTCTTAAATAATTCAGTACTTGCCTTCTGCGCAATCCTGTTCAGTTAGGAAGGCACTAGTTACTGAATGTGTCAGAGAATCCAAGTTTGGCTGCTGTCTTTCAAAACATAACCAAGAAGGTCACAAAGAGATTCTAATATTCGTTCAGGCACTAGGAAAGTGGGAAGCTGGACCCGTGTCGTCAGGATGGAACCCTGATGACCATTCCATAGGCTATTTTGGGATGTTGAGAAACATGGTCTTTCTGTTGAAGATGCCTGTTGTGGCAGAGAATTTATGTATGGAGGAAACATGTCTGGTCTATGGCAGGCATAAAAGACGACAACTGCCAGTCTGCTTCCAGATCCAAATACTGTTTCAGGTAGTTCTCTTACGTACAAAATGCATCAACTAGTCCTTTGAACAGAGACTAGAATTTCAGTGCAGCCTTAACTTGACCCATGGAGAGCAATTGCTGCTTCTTTGTAATGAAAACCTGTTGCATTAACCTACTTGTACAATGCTTTTAATTTTTGTGGCAAGTTAGGGGGAAAAAAAAAAAAAAATTACAGCTGTTTCAGGAGCCATAATGTAAAACATCACTGCCATGTGTCCAGGCATAACTGTTAAATCTAACTATAATAATAAAGGCAAGGAGGCCATCTCATGATGGCTGTGACTTTGTGCACTTAATCTTATCCATAGAACTGGATTATGTAGTTTTTAATTATGGCAAATACAGAGTACAACCTTCTGAACCAAAAGGAAATTAAGTTATGCTACTCATGGGGAGTACACTGAGGTGTGGAAAGTTGCAGCAGCATGTGAATTATAAGGTGTAGTTACACCTGCATAACATGTCCACCATGTCAAGGCTTCTGGAGCGTTCTTGAGCACCACTTACTACTTTTGTATGAAACAAGTGTCCTAACCCTTTTTTTCTTTTTCCTCCTCAAACTATACATCCAAATTATTTAAGGCCCACTTATTTATTGCTACTGCTCGCAGTGTTCAGGAGGAAGAGTTCATTGAAGTCTTCTCACTCTGTTTGACCCAAGCATCAGGGATTCCTTGCTTCTAATCCTACTACTCGGATAGAGCCCTAGATAGTCTGACTATGTGCGAAAAACAAGCAGCAGTTTGGACCAAGTACCGGCACAGAAAAACTTACGATAGCTATAAATTTATGTCATGAAGAAATCAGAAAGGAGGCCTCTGTTCTCCTTGGTAAGCCCTAACCCAAAGTTGTAGCTGAGAAATGAGTGGACCAACAATGTGTAGCTCATTGTCAGAGGTCTTCATACCAGATAAATATTCTTTGTAATGTATCCTTGTAATGACTGGCGGTGTGCCTGCCTAACCTGACAATTGGTACGTTTGCAAGTGTTATATACCTTGATATTTTAATCTTTATTTATGCAGGGACTCAAACCAATAGTTTCCACTGAATCCCCAGCTCTGATTTTTGGGACAACAACTAAACTTGCTTCAGATTTACCAGCAACTGATTCTTTCTTGGGTAAAAACAAGGTGCCAGACCTACAGAAACTTTTTCAGGTAACGACAACTTTGAGAGTAACTTAAAGAAAACTGGAGAGTGGGACATACATTTCCTTATTCTAATGTGGCTAACTACTTTTGTCATTCTACAATACCAAATTTTGTAAAGTCTAGTTAAGAAAGTGTCAAGTACAGTATAACCTGTATACTTGTACTATACTACAAGGTATATATGCCTTGTATAGGAGATAAATACAGAAAGTGGAAAGTCTAGTAACATTGTCTTTTTGCTGGCTTCAGAAAGTGCTTATTGTATTATTTGGCTATTGGAAGCACTTTCTGTCTGGGAATCCAAATGTATGCCTTAAAGCAGATTTGGAGGAGCAAAGCAGATCATTACTGGTTTATCTATAATAATTTGAATATTACTGAAGCTGTTTATAATGCAGTATAAGAAGAGCACAGTAAAGTTTTCAAAGCCAGTTTGTTAGCTATGCAATTTCTAAGCGTACTAGGGCTTTTCATAAAACAAATCAGTTAAGCATTTTTTTAAAAACATCAAGAATGTGCTTTATATAATATTCCCTTTTCTCTCTTACATGCCACTTGCATTTGGAATGTATCAGTATGACTTGGTGAATAATTTTTTATACATATCTTTTCACGTTCTTTTGTTACTGACACTTTTCCCATCCAGGTCCTCTAGAAATATTTCAAAATATATTCTTTTCACCTGCACTTAACAGCTTTGGCTAATAAAATTAACTTGCCTTTGCATTTGTCTTGCTAAGTGAAAAGCACATAATACACTTGATTATAGATAGCCTATTTGTCAGGAGGTTTCCCTCTCACAGTTTACCTGAGGTAGCTTGTTCCTTATGGCCTTGGTATGGGTGTTCATTTCTGGTTTTTTTTTTTTTCTTTTTTTTTTTTTTTTCTTTTTAAACTCTTCCCACAGAAAGCAGATGGACTGCCAGTGCACCTGAAACGAGGAGTTCCGGATAAGCTGCTTTATCGGACCACTATGGCTCTAACAATAGGCGGGACTATCTACTGTCTAGTAGCACTGTACATGGCCTCACAACCAAGAAACCAAAAGTAAATGAACCACAACTCACGGGACTCGTGACACTTCTCTGAAGGACCTCCTGCATGTATCTTTGCACTTGCTTTAATTCTGTGATCATACAGGGTTCATTATTCAGATCAAATTTCTTGGAGAAAATGTTTTTAAATTGGTTGCCTTATATGTTCTAGAAATCAATATAAACAGACTTAAAGCCATCATTTTAATATATGGTTGTAGCTTTGCATTTGTTGTCTTACAGGAGCGTATGAACAGTTGGAGAAAGTTAAGCTTTTCCCTCCTTCCCTCCCCCAACTTAAGCAATCTTAGAGATAGGACAGGGCAAATACTTTGTGGGCTATGCTCCACATTCCTTAGTGAGAGGATGCTGCTGGTTTCCAAAACAGTAAAAGAAAATCATTTAATTATTATAATAACATACTGGGAACCTGTTTCTGTCATACACAGCTCATTTTGCATAAGCAGGTGGCGGTGAAACCTTTTCCAAATGCTGGTGTATTAATAAATATTTGTACTTCTGGTGGTAGGACGAGGGGCTTATCTCCTTGGAGCATTTAAAGTGGATATTTATTCCATAATGTTAGCATCACAGTATGCAGCAGAGTGCACCAGTATTGTAGCATCAGTTATACCAGTTTTTGGACTTTCATTTGTTAAACTATCTTCTTGTGCAATAAAGATAACTACATGAATAATAAACAGGCAAGTCTTGAAAATTTCAGACCACTTCAGCTGGCCTGGTAGTGAAATAAACACATTGGTACACTTTTGTTTAAGTTCAACTTGTAGATCTCAAGCCAGACAATTCATTCAGCTACCTTACTGTAATTTTTTTGAGACTGTAATCCTCTTAAAACCCTCTCTCAGAACTCATTGGGTGTTTAACTGTAATTTTTGGTGGAACAGGTCACTGTCATACCTCAACTGTGTATTATTTTCAGTGCACGCACATATCTTTTTATGTGCAGAGATACACACACACACATTTCCTTTGCTGTGTGGGTGGAAGAGAGAGAAGCCAATAAAACCCTTTATTCATTCTCTTGCCCTTGTAGTATCATCGCCTTGAACTGCAAGTTTCACACAGATCTTCACAAAAAGCATCCTCTAATTTGATAGATCCTCCTCTGTCTAAGAACATCGAGTGTTCACTCTTGGTCACCCAGGTTCTGGATAAGCATGGATTCGCTGGCCTCTGTAAAGACCCATCTCTCCCAGAACTGTGCAGAAACCACCTTCCATGTAAATAAGGAAAACAGTTGATAAAGGAACCTAAAATTCCCATTTCTTCAATATTTTACTAAAAACATTCTGATTTTTTTCCAGTCAAGTTATATCAAAGCCTTATTACTGTTCCATAGGAACGAAAATAGCTGCCTGTACTGTGATCTCAGGTTTCAGTTGGTCTATTTCAGGATGGGAGAGATTAAGTCACTGAAAAAGAAATTTGTAAGGACAGCAGGACTCAAAGAATAGCAGAGAATAATTAAGTTCTCCAGGAGTTGACAGCTGTGTTGCCTCTACTGAGGGTCCCTTGGGAGGCAGTCCTGAAGG